GTTTAGAAGAGGAAGTGATGAGAAGATAAGTTTATTTTCTATTTAAACATAAAAAAGCATTTTAATAACAACTAAAGGTGACATAGATAATTTATTATAGTATAGTATTTAAATGTATGCCTGATAAACACATAATATTGCCCCTTTAAACAAAGATTTGTTGCTTTAAATATGTGAAAGCCGTCCCTGGGGATGTTGTTTTACATGGTTTCCTGCCTTATGTGATATTTCAATACAAGCTTGTCAGTTTTGGTCAAACTCTTTTGTGTTTTTGTGCTTCTCAGGTGTGATTGCAGTGGTGATCTTCGTCACCATGTCGGCTTTAGCAATCATGGCCAGATTCGTCTGCACCAGGAAGGAGACGTTTCAGAACCACGAAGTGAAATCTGCGCAGCCGGAGGACAGCTGCGAGTTCCCGTTCAGCGGCCAGGCAGATTCTCTGGGAGTTCCCAGTGGAAACCAAAAGGAGTTTTTTATTTAGCATTGGCCCTGAATGAACTGAAGACAGAACGAGATGAATTACCAAACAGTGCTTTACCTATTACCCCCCCCCCTTTTTTTTTTGGTTGTTGTCAGGTCTTTTTATTTATTTATTTTGTTTTTTGGTAAATACAACAGACTTGAGATGAGTTGGACTTTCAAAAGACTTTGGTGCTGTCACTTTAAGGATTCAAATATTTAAACATGTACAGTTCATAGTGTTTTGTGTGCTTACGACTTGTTTCCCTGTATTCTGAAATGTCACAATGGAGAAATATTTGTGAATAGATGTGATTTTTCAGTTAAAATATTTAAGCTTAATTTATAAGAACTTTTTTATGAGGAAACCTTTAAAAAAAATGTCAGATTTGAGACGCCAGAGCCATAAAAACACAGGGAGACGGGCTTACCTGGACTATCAATATGCAAGATTTACAAGGACCATCCCAGCTAAAGTACCGTCCCAGAATCAATTCAAATCATTCTGTAATATTGTGGAAACAATCCCCACATCTGCTGTATATATCAATACTAAATTAAAGTTGCTCTAAAACTTTGTCTACACTTGGTTATTGAGATGCTGATGCATTTTATTTATTTACTATTTTTTGTCTCTTTTCTTTTTCACTAAAAGAACCTTAAACAATGAGACTAAGACTTTTGTTGTTGTCGTTCTTGAGTGTTGGCTTTTATTGCACCACCTGCAGTGAGTAGCCGACACCAGAACTCTCCCAGAAACAGCTTTAAGCAGCTCGGTCCATAAAACATGAGTGCTCTGTCACCTCTTTTACTCTGTAGGCATGCCATGGGTTTCTTTTTTTTTATTATTCTGAAATACTAATCTGTTTTTGCCTCATGAAGACTTTGAGTCTCTAAGTAGTTCTGTAAAAATGGAGTAGTTTATATCCATTTTCCCTTTTTATCAAGCGTTAACCTCCTGAAACCCAAGTTTTTGTTTTGTGCATTTTTTTTCTTTCTCCAAAATGCATGGGATTAGTAGGACCTAATAAGTATAACTACTAGACTCTGTTATAGAAGTAGTTTGTGCAGAAAAGGATGTCCTCATATGAGGACACTGGGTCTCAGAATGTCACACTTTTTGAGGACTACCTGAGCAATTGCATTCAAAACTTGAGAAACTTCATGATATATTTTCTGGAGGTACCATTTTTCCTAGTTATTTTGACAATGCAGCAGCCAGCTGTTGACCAGAGCAAACTCAGCGAAGCACATCATCATCATGACAACTTTCAGATATCTCTTCAGTTTGAAAAAAATATTACGTTAACATAATGGCAGGAAATCACACATTTGACCAGAACATCCTTGGTATAATTAATTGGTTGAACCACTTACAAGAACTATTTATGCTTGTGAACAATTTTAAATATTTCCAGATTTGTTTAACAAAAATTTTTGACCAAATATTACAACTATTTACGTTTGTAAACCCTTCTAAATATTCACAGGTTTATCCAGTCTCGTGGCACAATTAATTACAAAATTATAGTCCCAATGGGCCTCATTCAAGAACATGTTCGTATTCTTATCCTAAATTTCTCTTATTTTTTGTACGAAGGGTTCGTACGAACACTTCACATCAGATACAAGAAACTCTTCTACCTTCAGGAAAAAAGTGTGTAAATGAGCTGCGTAAACTGATGAATCAGGTGCTCGTGCACAAGGAGAGGAGATTAGCATAATTACCACCATAAAAACACCATATAAGGCTATACGTTTCCTGCCCCACATACCAGGAAGTGTTCGTTCATAAGTGACATCACAAAGTAAAAAGATCAGAGCTCCAGAAAAGAAAATCTGCCATTTTTAGCAGCATCAGCTGTGGAATTAAAGGAGCTGCTAAAGCCGAGGAATGAAATGACTGCTGTTAATGCCGTGTCTCCTGTGGGTCGTATACAGTCACAGAAATAAAAATCCAAACCATATTCATCTCTCTCTAGTCCTGCTATGCTTTTCCTTTTCCTCAAATATTTTTAATTTAAGTGTAATTGAACTGTGTTACAAAGTTTTCATTTATTCGGAAGAAGAGCAGTCTCACACTGCCACACTCCCTGCTGTAGTGAATAAAGCTCGTTGTGACTAAAAAGGATGAAGAAAGAATCAGATGAAGACTGTCAACAGTTTTTTTTAACTCTCTAGCTGCTTCACTGCAGGAAAATTTTGTTTAAATGCATATTTTTATTTATTTTTCTCTTTTTCAGAAGTTATTAAACAAAAATTCTATATAGAATTAAAAAGTATAAATCACAATTAAAATGAAAGGCAGCAGAAAGAAAGAAAATAAAATCTTATATTTGCCCCTTTTTTCAAAGAAAAAACTAATTTCAAATAAATCATTACACAGATAAATATGGGGCAGCTGTGGTGTAGTGGCAGAGCAGCTGGCTTGGGACCCAAAGGCCACAGGCTCAACTCCCCACCATGCCCACATACTGTGGTGTGATGGGTCAATTTCATCATTGTGCAGAAATATACACTTATGACAATACTTGAATTTATTCTATTCTAAAATCCTTTAACAAGGTAACTTTTTTCAACACAATCATGCACATAAACTGCACCAAATGTTTTCATGTCCATTTAAAATTATGGACAACCGTTGCTGTAAATACCAATTAAATGCCACAGCAAATTATGCAGTTAAAACTAACTAACAATATATATATATAGTATATATAG